AATTTACCCTTTTCTATACTGACATCTCAAGGGTTACATGAAGCTGATATGACAAGAAACCTGCTTACCTCCTCACAACTAATGGCACATTCTTCAGATTAATGAATCTTTTCCTAGTCCAAGATATATTCTAACTAAAAATGCTATCAAACCTATACATGTACACTGTCCCAAAAGGCAAGTTCTGTAACATGTAAGTGCAACCTCTGCTCTCCTTCCTGCTCTCACACCTTACTTCACTCCCAGAGGCAGTCCTTTGACGGCCCCAAAGCTGGGTACTTTCTTAACCTCCTTTCGTATTTCTAACTATGATTTTCTTACTATTTCCTGCATTTCAGCTTTCTATTATGGAATAAAAGAGTATAACTTTCTTCTCATCCCTCATTCTGAATTTCCCTTCTCCCACCCTTTGAATATGCAAGTCATCAGTCACTTAGCCATGAAGATATGTTCCGAAAAATGCATCATTAGGCGATTTTGTCATTGAGCATAGACTGTACTTACACAAACCTAAATGGGACAGCCTATACGCTACCAGACTATAGGGTATAATCTATTGCTCTTAGCATCATCACAAACACGTAAGCTCTGCACTGCTAAGCTACAGCAGCTATGATGTCACCAGGCACTAGGAATTTTTCAGCTCCATTATAATCTTATGGGACCACCATTGTATATTCAGTCTGTCACTGAAATGTTATGTGGTACATGACGGTAGTTTGATAACTTCTGTTAAACCAATCTTCAGTGTTCATATTATTGTGGCTATTTTTCATAGCACAGCATGGTGAGTGCTGTAATTATATTTCCAATCTTGAGCGATCTGTTTTCCTTTCTAATTGTCTCTTTTCACATTTGTTTAGTTTTCTAATCACTCATTACTAATTCAGAATCTGTTGTATATTAGTCTGCTTGGGCTACCACAAAAAATACCCCAGATTTGGTGACTTAAACAACAGACACTTATTTTCTCATAGTTCTGGCAACTGGGAGTCTCAGGACAATGTCCCAGCAGGGTTAGTTTCCTCTGAGGCCTGTGAGATTGGCTTGCAGACGGCTGCCATGTTGCAGCTCTTCACCTGGTTGACCCATGAGCACATGCACTCCGGGTATCTGTGTATATCCTATTACCTTATTCTCCTTTTATAAGGACATCAGTCATCTTAGATTAGAGCCTACACTAAATGGCCTCCTTTTAACTTAATTACCTATTTAAAAGCCCTGTATCCAAATACAGTAAAATTGTGAAGTGCTGCAAGTTAGGGCTCCAACAAGTGAAAATAAAAGGAGAGACACAATGTAATCCAAAACACCTGCGGAGAAGTGGAAATCTCTTCTCAATATACTCAGCCACATAGGTAACACCAGCTTGGTCTCAACCCCAGAGGTGGCCTTTCTGAAGTTCTCCACTCCCCATGGTGGTCTGACTGCTGGCACTGAGAGCCTGCTGTTTAGGGTCCGCTTCCACCATCACTGTGGAAATTCCCATTCTCTCCTGCATGCTGGGTCCCTTGAGTCTACTTCTTCTTCACTCACTCCTTGTTTTGGGTAAACACAACTTCCAGCAGCTTCCAGATAGTTTTGTATTCTTTGAAATCTTCAATGTATATAAATAACTTTCTTTCTACCTTCTTACTAGACCAAACTTTTGCCAGGATACAAAATTCTAAGTTAAAAAAATATTTCCCTTCAGAATTTTGAAACCATGGTTCCACTGTCTTCTGGTATTACTGATAAGAGGTCTGAAGGCATTCTCTACCCTTAGTTTTGCATATTTTCTTCTTTTTCTCCTATTGTTCCTCTTCTTCATTTGCCTTTTCCTTTTTCCTTTGGCTCTTCTTTTATTTCCTTCTCCGTGACCAGTACAGATCTTTTCTAGTCCTTACTGTATAATGAGTGGGCCCTCTCAATTTGATAATTTTTAAAATTTGAATGTATTATGTCTTTCATAATATTCTGCCCCAGTGTTTTATAAAAATCTCTTTCTTAAATTCCTGTATTGCTTCTCCTTAACTACTATAATTTTCTCACCTTTTTAATTCTTCTTTTACATTACTTGGTTTTATTGTTGATTTTATTATTCTTCATTCTTCAATGTTCCTTAGGTTTACCTTCTAGGCTTTTTATTAAATTATTCATGTTTTATCCTAGGTTTAATTTTCAAGAGCTCCTTTAGGTTCACTGAAAGTGTTGTGTTGTTTTGTGATCTAGCCTACTCTTCTTGTTTTATGTACCATATTCTCATATTACTAAGAATATTTAGAAAAGACATATTTTAAAATTGATTTATTCTTCCAAAATTATATGGTATTGTTTCTGTTTCCTCTGTGCTTCTCTTTTTGTGTTTGCTTTTTGTTTGTTTGCTCATTCCTTCTTGTTCTTTGTCAGAAATTTCCTCAAATCTCTATTGATACTTGGTGTTTGAATACAGTCGGAGTTAAGCACTCAAAAGAGGTTAGGATTTGAGTGAAGGCAGAAAGCTTTTTTCACATAGCTTTTATTTTAGAATGATCAATTTTTAATATTGCACTTGGGAACACCAGGATTCATGCCTGCGTGTGCACATGCGTGTGCACGCACACACACATACACACACACTTTTGGTTGACTGATATAAAGCATTTTCTGTTGTGGTGAACCATTTCCCCTGAGGAAACTCCCCAATCTTGTGTCAATGTCAACAGAGATATGGACCAGGTGGCAATGGTTCTCAGAGCCATTTGGGAAAGTCATATCACATTCAGTGAGGCAACTTGCTCTTAATTCCCTTAATTTTAGTAGCATCGTACCTAGATTCCTAACGGTAGCTGGTGTCTCTGAGTAGAGGATATCCTGAATCTAATTCTCCAAATAGTAAACTCTGTTACCAGGATCAGTAAAGTAACCAGCAATGGATATGTAGAGGGGATCAGCGAACCCACTTTTCTTACAGGCTTCTAACCAGTATTCATATATTTAGTTATATATATAACCCGACTTCGGAGACATCTGATACCTCTGCTTTCTGAGACTCTTGAGGTTCCATTGCAAAAAGCAGCCTGCTTCTAATTTGTTTCCCCTCTCAACTTAAAATTTTAACTTCCTTCACTGTTGCCACTCATCCATCTGCTTTGTAGCTTGCAGAATTATTATTAATATAAAATTAGTATTGTCTCATCTACCAAATCTGTTGTCCTTATAGGCGTGAATCTTCTTACTCATTTCCTCCAATTTAGTAGTGTCAGGAGAAAACAGAATGCATTTGATTAACTAAAAGCTTCCAAATTCACATTATAAAGGGTACCCTAGAAGATAGGTATTTATTTCCTAATGCTTACACCTCCCTTATTACACAAAGATGATACATATGCTGAAAAACTGCCAGCATTTTAAAGCCAAATTGCCCCTTGAGGGGCACAACACTCACAATTACATAAGTCAACCAATTATAGAAACACTTGATTATTTTCAGTTCAAATTCGTTTCTTCAATAAACATGTTTGGAGTACCTACTTTGTTGAACCTATTAAGAAACGATTAAAGCAGTGCTTAAATGAACTGATGAGGGTCTGATCTGAATTGAGGTAGTAACTGTAGAGAAAGCTGGGAACAGAAACTTTTTTCAAATATATATTTCAAAAAAAATTTTATAAGTTTTTCAATCATTTTTTGGTTTACCCCCTTTTATTAGTTTTCTAGGGCTGCCAAACAAAGTACCACAACCTAGATGACTTAAACAACAGAATTTTATTGTCTCACGGTTCTACAGACTGGAAATCGGAAATCAAGGTGTTGGCAGGGTTGGGTTCCTTGAGAGCTGTGAGGGAAAGGTCTGCTCCAGACCTCTTTCCTTGGTATGCATATTGCTGTCTTCATGTGTACATGGTGTTCTCCCTGTATGTATGCCTGCCTCCAAATCTTCTAGTCATACTGGATTAGTGCCTATCCTAATGGTCTCATTATAAATTTATTACTTCTTTCAAGACCTTATCACCACATAAGTTCACATGCTGAGTTACTAAGGGTTGGGACTTCAACATGTGAACTTTGTAGGGCCACAATTCAGCTCATAGTAGCTCACTCCAAATGAAAGATGAGAAAATCAGTTTAAACACTTTGGAAAGGATAAGTAATTTAGATAGAGTGAGGACAAAACAGAGCCTGCCACATTCGGGACTTAGAGTCGTAAATTAATGCAAAAGAGCATGCCTATATCCAGAAGAGGATAGACATATACCTGAAAGACCTATGCACATTTTGCCTTTTCCCCAGTCTCTTTAGAAATCACCGACTGTTCTCATTTGTCCACACACCACAGGTATGATTAGAGATGGAGTCATTGGCTTAGAAACACTGGAAGTAGTAAAATTTACTGAGCATAAAATAATGAAGCATTTTTTAAATAATAAAAAAATTAAAAATAGTTTATACCATTTAATTTCGTTTATAACAATATTTGACTTATAAAATTTAATTTAGTTGTAAGTTTAATAGAACTGTGGATCTGAAAATTGCATCATAAATATTGTATAAGCCAAAGGTTACCAAAGTGAAATGTGTTTCAGAATTACCTGGGAGCTTTTAAAAATATAGAGATTCTTAATTACCACCCAAATATCTTGAATAGAAGGTTCTGAAATGCATATTTTTAAGAAACTCCCCACTTGGTTCTAATGCCTGATCCATCCGTTTTGTCTTAACTTTGAAAAAATTGAGGCCACTTTAACAAAATTACATCTCATAAGACATATTTAATTTTAAAAATGGTCTAGTTCTAATTCTATGTGATTCCTTTTGATCAATAGATTATGGAGGATGTGTAGAAACTATTTGAAAAACATTTTTGTTAATACAATGATTCAACGGTTCTTATGGAAAAGATAGCTCAGTAATATTGTTTCCTTTAGTAAAACTTTAAGGTCACCAATATTTAATGTTGGCAGATTTCTAAAAATTCAAATTTAAAAAAATTCTTCTAAAATGGAAAGCACAACTTACTAAAAGAGATTTTAGAAACTTACAGATGATGTCCTATCCACTTCACAACGGCTACTGAGAATAAAACAGGCCTCAGCGTCATCCATCCTAAATACAGACAGAAAAAGACAGAATAATCACACACTGAAGTATCTACATGTTTTCTGACAAATAGAATTTCACTTTTTAGTTCATATATTGCAAAAAATTTACAGGAAGACCATGTGTATCTATAAGCTTAAATCAAAGTTGAATTTCTAGCAGATCATGACTATATTTGATCCTGAACAAAAAGAAAATCCATTATTGGGTTATCTGTTATAACTTAGTGGTCTATGACAAAAGTTAAAAAAAAGCCAACCTTTATTCCTTTTTATGATTAAATGTATTTTTATATGTATGCTTTGAGTAAATTAACAGGATATATTGGTCTTTATTTTATGATTAATTGCATTTTAACTGTAATGTCACAATCAAACTAAGAGGGATGGAACAGAGCCGCTCAGGATTCCTAAGTCAAACTGTACTCTGTATTTATACTTCCTGGAGATCATTCATTATCTTGTTGCAACCCCCTTCCCCTCATGCTAGGGTTCAATATTTCTTAAGTTTAGTGATAAAGACACAGTATATTTTAGTGTTTGATACATGATGTTCTAAAAGCACAAGAATGTTTACTTTCAAAAAGAGGAATGAGTTACCTCTGTGGTTCACTGTGATAAAGTAAATCTTTTTCCAAAAAAAAAAAATGTTTTCTATGGAGAGGAAATATAAAAGTCTTTGAAATAAGATCAAGCCAAACAGTTCTGGGAAATGTTGCGCCATGGTTATTAAGATAATATGAGTGTTGGATAACTTTTTCTAAACACCGTTTTCAACAAAGCAATTCAAAACTCATGCAACTAACCTTTGAAACTTGTTTGGAGAATATTACTCCATGCTCTACGTATGAGGAATTGCACTGAAAAATGTGTTTGTTTATATTAAATCCCAAATCTTTTATATGAAGTTAAGATTGAAATGAACATAAAAATGGATACTGTGTCACTCTAATTTATTTTTAAAAATAGCTTTTTGAGTATGGCCAGCCAGCTACCTATCTCTCTCCTTCATTCCTTTCTCTTTTCTTTTATTCCTATGGAGGAATTCTTCTTGAAAATGTGATAGTTTTTACTAAGAAATAATTTTAAAACTATTGGTAATAAATTAGTTATATTAATCCTAAATATTATATAGGTTAGATAGTAATAGCTAATACCAATAACTCAGATAAATTTATTAGAAAGAAGCCTCCATTTATTACACAAAGTCATATTGAACACAATATTAATATTATTCAGGCTTATTGTGTGAAGAACATAACTGTCTTACAATAAATTAAGCATACTGATTATCTACACAGATGAATACAATGATGTAGATTATAGTAGTATCTAAGCGTCTATTTTTTCTAGCACACTCAAATAATGACTATAGACAGCAAACAGTAAACATCTAAAGCCAGGGTTTACCTGAGGTGCTGGGAAAAGCTGATGACTTAAAGGATAGAATGTCACAAGTAGAATGACCACAAATATAAAGTATTGAATACACCAAAAAGATGAATATTCTCACAAAGAATGTATCTTTCCAATTATAATCCTGCTAGTTTCTAGTGAAGTTTTTGTTTCAGAAATTAAATTGTTGAAAAAAAGGCTCCATTAAACTGACTTTATTATATATAAATCAAAAGTAACATCAGAGTTCCTGACTAGGCATCTAGTCATCATTTGAAGGATTACACAGCAAAAAGAAGTTCCAAAGTCTGTTCTACAAAACAGTTAACTTTTCTTCTGTTTGTTTCTATCACTCACTAGACATACACACACAGGCACATGCACACACAGTGAAGACAGGCACAAACACACACCCACTCACACACACTCAGGTTATGCAGGAAAGAAAAAAAAAGTGTAAAGCACTTATACTATACAATTCAGTGGGGAGACTTTTAAATCTAGAAGAGCATGCAGGAGAACTCAAAGATAAACACGAGGGCACATTTAAAACTTTAAAAACAGCAGACAATATTGAGCAAAACCACTTCTGCTGAAGATATCTTCTGGCTTCTGAAACTAAAGAGACTGTTTTGCAGAAGCCCTGATTCCCTGGTGTCCACACTCTGCCCCATAATGCTCACACTCTGCTCATGTGATATAACTCGGTAACCTGTGACAAATGTTTACGACTCTGTCACCTTTGAGCCAAGTTGCCTGGTACATGCACAAAAAGAATACGGTAGCTAAGTAAGACTTGTCACCTTTCTGATTCCTCTAGCCCACAGCAACCGTTTCGGCCCTGACCCCAGGCAACACAAGTGCTACCTGTCCAACACGTGGTGCAGGCTCTTTAAAATATAAACTCTGACTCACACTGCACTGGTATATCACATCATATCTAGCCCATGATTTTTATATATGGGATAAAAACAGTATTCAGGAATTTGGAGACTACTCTATCAGTGAGTCTGGATACCTCAGTGAATCTCTGACAGCTGAAGATAATTATAGGGGCCACTTTTCTCATTGTGTTGTGTGGTCACAGTCTGCTGAACAATTTTGTCTTGAGATGAGGCTGAAAAGAGGAGTAAACACACTGATTTTATTATATATTTTTAACCTTTCGGTTTGGTCAGCAGAGGAACTAAGACAAAAGACTTTACTCAAACATACTGAAACACATCTTGTGACACTGAAAATTGCTAAAATTTGGCAGAAAGAGAAAATATTAAGTCACTCAAAACTGTAAGCTGCAAGATGAAAGACAGAGACACCTACTTTGCTCTCAACAGGTCTTGATCTTTAAGGGCTGAACCTTGAAGATAGATAACTCTTTGGGACCACATTGGAATCTGCAGTACCCTTCGGACTTGCACATCCATTTCAGTAGGACACAAAATCACCACATAATAATCCTATTCAAAACAAAATGGGCATTGGGATAGAAACAATAATGTTTTCTATTATACTACATAGAAAAATAAGAAAAATCTGAAATATGATAAAACTGAAATCAACTTTTGCTAATAAAATTTCATATTTAAAACCTGGGCATATATTAAATAACACTGCTCTCTTATAACACAACTGGGACACATGCAAATCTCATAAATCAATAAATTCATCTCAATTTATTTCCATCTTACTAGGGCCACAGGGAAGGTAACCAGTGGTTATACCTGGCATGCACTTTCAGCTTGTAAAGTTTTTAGTTCTATCTAAGACTGATCCTAAAATATACGCTGAACACCAAGCAGAAGCATTTAAATATCAATTCATACTTCAAGTCATTAGTTTGAGAATCAAAACTGTGGTAGTGATTTATATCATTTGGTTATACTATTATGAACCAATAATTTTGAACAGTTTCTGATGGATATTTGAATAAATAAGGGTTCATAAAAACATTGCAAATACTGACAAAGTAAACCAAATGAACGTGATATCAAAATATTTCCAAATATATGGTCCTTTGGAGAAAGTATTAAAAAACAACAAATAAGTATGGAGTTGCTATTAAAAATGCAAGTTAATTTATAGGAAAACAAAAGAATAAGAACAAAACAATTCTGCCCATTTAAGACAGAACAAAATGATTCTATCATTTAAGAATCAATTATAAATTAGGTGTATTAAAACACAAAAATATAGTATTCATAAAGGTCTCCAAAATATTCACAAATCAATTATTTCTATGTTTTGTAAGAAAAGGATAATTAGACAGAGTAAGCATTGTCTTGATGTTTGGAGTTATTCAACTTCTTGACACAAATTTGTTGACGAAATACAAGACCTTCAAACACACTAGGTGCAGGAAGCTGGAAAGGAAATAACTGCTGTGGCCCACAGCAGCAAGTGGGAATATTCAAGAATTATATCTGCATAGACAGAAAAAAAGTTTCTTCTTAATTCCTATTCTCACTTTGCCTAGTTACTGTCCAATTTTTGGTCATACATTCCTACTACAAATAGCACCTATTTATACTTAAGGAAACAAAAGAAAAAAGTGAAAGTCCCAGGCTCCCACATTTCCATTAGCAATCCTTGATACAATTCTGCAGTATTTAACTGAGTAGATGATATTGAAATGGTTTCTTTCTTGTTTAATTGTATTTTATCTTAAAATTCACTGTTTCATAAAGATATCACTTATGCTCTACCCAAGGGACAAAAAAGCAATCCTTTAATTCAAAGAAAAATTTTCTTTGTAGCATTAACATTATTCCATCTGTTTTTTAGCGTACATACAGAAGGAAACTTAAAATACTGTGTATTCCTCCAGCATATTTTTTCTATGTTCCTGGTTATATTTGTAGTTCTTCATTTACTCTTTCTATATTTGGGTGTATAAATAAAAATCCTCCACAAAGCAGGCTGAACCATCAGTTAATTGACTTTGACAATATGTTAGTTGGTAGGTATGATCCAGTATAATACATAATATAAGCCAAATGTACCTGGAGTCTAGGATGAGCATAGAATTCGTTTAAAAAATCCATAAGTAAATCAATCTTCAGCGAGCTGACACACAGAACAACATGCTTTTCTGTTTGAGCTCTGTGTCGACTATAGTTCCCACCTGACTTTTGTCTCTCCATCCACAAATAAGCCAGCTGTTCAAACTGTATTTTCCACATGTGAATGAAAAACATGGTAAGAAAATAAGTAAATCAATGCAATACATCTATTGTTTATTAAGTACTGTCAATTTTGTAGATGGAACTCATTGAGATTCTAATTGTCAGCATTCCCCTTCAACAACAGATTTTCCATATAATTTCTACAGAGGCTGTAAAAGCCTCCCAGGGGCTTCAGGTCTCTGAAGAAACATATTAACATGATTTTGCTATCACATAAGAACAGGCCACTAAGAGGTCTGTGCCTCTGCTTTATGTCTAGTAGAGCTGAGTGAAAGAGAAAAGCCTCATTGTTATTTTTCCACATTCTCTCTCAAGTTCTACCCACATCTCATGTAATAGGAATTACTCTTAACACGCATGGCCACATTCTAGCTGTACAGTAGCCAGAAATGGAAGAAAATGAAAGGTGCAAGGGAGGGATGTCAGGAAGAAAGATGTGCATGAATTTACAGGAGTAGGAAGGCCATTTTTGTAGGTATTTAGATACATTGCGGCCCAAGTTTTACAATGGAATATGCAAGTTTGATTTGCTTTTCCCCATAACCTGTGTCTGATCTGCCCATACATGGGCACACAGGGCTCATTATAGGAAAGGGTTAGAGATTGCATTTACTTATTTGTAATTCCATTTATATATCCGCCCCTTTGCAACCTCCCTACTCACTCCCCAAAGTGCCACATAATATAAAATATGTTCAGACTTTGTTTTCAATTTATTTTTTGTAGAGATGGGGTTTCACCTTGTAGCCCAAGCTCATCTTCAGCTCATGGGCTCAAGCCATCCACCTGCCTTGGCCTCTCAAAATACTGGAATTATAGCCATGAGCCACTGCACCTGCCCCAGATTTTGTTTTAGTTGACCAACCTAACTAATCATTTTTTTTTTCATTGCAGTATATGATTATGTAGTTTATTTTGAAGAACCAAGAGAAATCAACCCTTCACAAATTTATTTTTTGATCTACCATCCTATAATTAAAAATTACATTATTCTATACTTAATATAGTTAAGTACTCTATATTTTTTTTAAAAAGCATCTTGAAGGATTTAAATAAGATGTGCGCTGTCAGTCACGACTGGAAGGAAAAAAAACTTGGTGTTTCTAATAAAATGTAAAATAACATTTCTGCAGTAATTATGTAATTGGTTAAATGTAATGATAGCATGTGTCAGCAAATTATTGTTAGATAAATAAACTACTTTCCAGTTCTTATTAAAAATGGAAGATTTCATTTTATGTCTCTGCATATTTCTAGACAATGTATGATGGTTATGTTTACCTGTATGGGTAGAACCACAAGAGCAACACAAATCATAGCAACGACAAAAAGCTTGGAGGACCACGTTTCAGGAGTGACATCCCCGAAGCCCACAGTAGAAAACGTTACAATGCAGAAATAAAGGGAGTCAAAGAGATTCAGCTTCTTTCCTATTCGTTCCAGATGTTGGATCCCACAAATGCTAAGGAAACAAATATGCATTAAAATTAAATCTTTCAAATTGCACACAATATTTCTCATCATCATTCTTTGAAAGCCAAAGCACATTTCATAAAGCCATTTAATAGTCAAGCTCTTATATTTCACAATGTATTTTTCTAAGAAAAATATAATTAGTAAGTTCTTTTCCTACATTGACCAGATGTGGTCTTATTTTGATTAACAGCCAAAAATGGTAGTAAAAATATCACACAGCATATTTAAGTAACATGCAAAATGAACAGACAATTTCATGGGTGATACACAAAGACACTGAAAGAACATCAAGGAAACATAGAGGCCAGAAATCGCTACATCTAATCCCTTCCAAAATACCAAGTCTTTCCTTTTTCTTTTTTCATAATTTAGGAAGAAGAGAAAGACAGTAAGAAGGTTGAGGAATTAATAATTGCCAACTGCTATGGTTTGAATACTGTCACCTCCAAAACTCATGTTGAAATTTAATTGCCATTGTATGATACCAAGAGGTGAGACTGTTAAGAGGTGTTTAGGTCATGAGGGCTCCACCAACATGAATGAGCTAATGTTGATATTGTGGGAATGGGCTCACTCACATGTGCACGTGCGCTGTCTCTCTCTCTCCCTCACCCCCCATCTGATGTGCACTTTCTCTCTTTGCCCTTCTACCATGTTTTGAGAAGATTCCCAGCCTCCAAAATCAGTATGAGCGAATACATTTCCGTTGATTATAAATTACTCAGTTTCAGGTATTATCTTATAGGAGAACAAAATGGACTAAGACACCAAATGATTCTTAAAACAAGTCCTTAAATGAATCAATCATTTGTACAAAGCTATTGATGAAGTGACAGTAAGAGAGCAATGTAAAAGTTGTTAGATGCCCTTGAATTAGAAATTTGTTAAAATAACATTATAAATAATGCTGCTATTAGCAAAAAAACAAAAGAGGCAAGGTGAGATTATGAATAATAAAATATATTGTGCAACGTTGGAGGAAGATGTAAGATTCGCAACACAGCAATCGGCATATAATTGCTATGGTTTGAATGTCTGTATTCGCTCCAAAATTCATGTTGAAACTTAAATTCACAATGCAACATTATTAAGAGGTGGGCTTTAGGAGGTGATTAAGTCTGGAGCTCTCAAGAATGGGATTAGCAACCTTATAAAAGTGTTGGAGGGAACCAGCTAGGCCTCTTTTTGCTTTAATGCCTTCTGTCATGTGAGGACACAGCAACAATGCCTCATCTTGATGAGCGAGAAGGCCCTCACCAGATACCAAATCTGTGACCCCTTGATCATGAACTCCCCTGCTTCTGGAACTGTGAGATATATATTTCTATTATTCATAAACTACACAGTCTCAGATATTTTGTGGTAGCAGCACAAATGAACTAATACAGACATTGACACTGAGAAGTAGGGTGTTGCTATAACAAATACCTAAAAATGTGGAAGCAGCTTTGGAATTGGGTAATTGTTACAGACAGGAACAGTTTTAGGGTACATGCAAGAAAAAGCCTAGATTTCCCTGAATGGAGTGTTTAAGGACAATTTTGGTGAAGTCTCAGAAGAAGAAGAGAGTTGAAAAAGCCTAAATCTTCTTACAGATTATTTAAACAGTTATGACCAGAATATTGGTGGAAATATAGGCAGTAAAGCCCTTTCTGATAAGTTCCTAGACAGAAATAAGGAATATCTAATTGGAAACTGGAGGAAAAGCCATCCTTATTATAAAGTGGCAAAACCTGGTGAATTACGTCTGTGTCCTAATATTTTGTGGAAGGCACAATTCAAAGGTGGTGAACTAAAATATGTAGTAAAAGAAAGCTCTAAGCAAAGTGTTCAGGGTGATGCACTGTGTTTCTTGACTGCTTTTAATAAAATGCCAGAAGAGAGAAATTGATTAAAGATGAAATTTATAATCAAAAGGGAAGGAGAACTTACAAATTTGGAAAATACTCAGCCTGGTCAGATTGTAAAGAATAAAAATTGTGTTCCAGACAAAACACCAACAGTTTGCCCAAGCAATCATGCAATAAGGAGATTCTTATAAGATAAAAGGAAGCCAGGTACTCTTCATCAAAACAATGGAAGAATAACCCTGAAGGCATTTTGGAGCTCTTCCAGACTGTAACCCCCACCACAGGCCTAGAGTGTGAAAGCTTTGAGAGCAGAACAGTTTCAACCGAGGAAACCAGGACACCTTTGAGGCCTCAGGAGTCAGCTTTCTTCATTCTGGTGCGGTGCTCTTTGGCCACCCCAAGTGGTGGTGAAGCAGGTGCAAGAGTGACTCAGGATGCTGCTATAGAAGTCAGAGGTGGTAATCCTTAGTGGCATCCATGTGGTGCTAATTTAGCAGGTGTGAAAAGAACATAAGCTGTGAAGGCATGGTTACCTCCCCCCTAGATTTCAAAGGATGCCCCGGAAAGCCTTGGGGCCAAGAAAGAGAACTACCACAGGGATATGCCCACACATAGAGTCCCCACTAGGGCAATGCCTGGTGCCATAGGGGTGGAGCCATCCCTGAGACACCATAGCTGTAGTCACCAGCATGAAATGCCAGTATGGAGAGCTGCAGGTACCAGACCTCAACCCTGTAAGTGCTGCTATGTGGACTATGCCAAGGAAAGCCGAGAAGATGAGGCTTCCCAGAGCCTAGTGTGGGCCAACCCCTCCCCAGTGTGACCAGAAGTCAAGACATGGAGTCAAAGATTACTCTGAAACCTCAGGATTTAATATTGTTTTCCTTGTTGGATTTCCAACTTAATTAGGACCTATTACCCATTTCTCCTTGCCTATTTCTCCCCTTTGGATTGATAATATCTATCCTATACCTGTCTCACCATTATATTTTGGAAGCACAAAACTTGTTTAATCTCACAGGCTCACAGCTGAAGAGTAATTAGCCTCAGGATGAATCATGCCTTGAGTCTCACCCATATCTAATTTAGGTGATATTTAGACGAAACTTTGGGCTTAAGAGTTGGTGTTGGAACAACTCAAGACTTTAGGGGCTACTGGGATGAAATAAAATGCATGTTGTATGTGAGAAGGACATGCATTTTGATGCACCAGAAGCAGAAGGCTATGGAGTGAATGTTTGTGTCCCCTCCAAAATTCACACTGAAACTTAAATCCCACAATGCAACATTATTAAGAAGTGGGGTCCTTACGCGGTGATTAAATTTATGAGGGTAGGGCACTCACGAATGGCATTAGCCACCTTATCAAGTTGTGCCAAGTTTGCCCTTCTGCCATGGGAGGGTGCAGCAGTAAGGCCCCATCCTGAAGGAGAGAGAAAACCCCCAACAGATGTTAAATTTCCAGCACCTTGACCTTGGCCTTCACAGATCAAGGATTGTGAGAAAGAAATTTCTATTGTTCATATATTACGAAGGCTCAGGAATTTTGTTAAAGCAGCACAAACAGACTAATACAATCATGCAATACTACTCAGTAAATAAGTAAATAAGTAAAAATTTAAAAGGAGCCAAGTTCTGGATAAATTGCAAAAACACGATGAGTGAAAGAAGTCAGACATAAAAGACCACATGTTGTATGATTCTGTTTATATGAAATATCCAGAGAAGAACCAGCAAATCAGTGGTTGCCTAGGACTGATGGTGGGAATGTGGTGGTGAAAATATTCGAAAACTGAATTGAGGTGATGGTATACATCTCTTCACGTATATAACTTTGAATATACATGAAACAATATAGAATTTATACTTAAAATGAGTAAATTTTATTATACATATATTATACCCCTATTAAACTATTTTTAAAATCAGTGTATATTTGTGAACACTCACTATGGCTTCTGGGCACTACAAGCACATGGCTTAATTACAACAACTGTGAAGAAATAAATATTCAACGTTTACTTTCCAGAAATTCCTTTTCCAGCCTTTTCAGATAACCTCCTTATTTTTCTAAGCTATGTAGCAGACAGATTCTACTGTCTTTATGCATGTATATACATATTTTAGTACAGTCAAGTATAAGCTTATGAATGGTTAGATAGATGGGTAGGTTCACAGGTAGATGGACCAAGAGACAGAAGAGAGAAAGGAAGATACATGTCATCATTTTAATTGTATAAAACTGTTGTGTGAGTTTTCTTTATTTGCTTTTTTTCCTTTTTTTTTTTTCACTTCAGGTCTCTAAAACAGCACAGCAAAATCACTCTTGTTTTACGCTTACAAATTTTGTGTGAGCTGCCAGATCATAAGCATACTTAAACCAATGAGTTGATTCATATCAGTTTGTTGGCTCAGCTGCCCCTATGGAATATTGCCAAACTAATTATTCAGATGTAGCCTAATATCACCAAAAATGGAATTGTATGATACTTCTGTAAAGTCGGGTTTTAAAATTTTCTTTAAAATAACATATGTTGGAGAATGTAAACAATTTATGCTTAATTTCTTTATACTTCACTAGAAAATAGAGAAGAAAGGAAAATAACATATATTTTAGTGATTCAAATATTGAGCATTTACATTTGAGTATGCATTAACAGTCAATCTCTGATTACAGTTAAAATGTATACTTCCAAATTCAAACATGTATTTTCTAGACCTAAGCTACCTGAAAAGTCTCCTACTGTGCTTCCAGGTCTTTTGACTGTCCTTTTAACATAACGTACTCATAAGGGTAGTATTAATATTCTTTAAACACAGCGCACCCTCAGATTCAAAAAGCTGCAGGATTCTCACTGTTCAAAGAAACCTCTATAATCTATAGTTTGATAGATTATTATAATAGCCGCCAACAAATCAAGTCCTTGTATATTCAACAAACTCTTCATTTGCAATACAATGTTGCTGTACCACCCATGAAGATATGAAGTCAATGTCTTCAGGTCCTTGAGTCTGAACTGGACTAATGACTCTCTTTGACCAATAAAAGGATGGAAGTGGCATTACGTGGTTGCAGATGCTAGGCCTTAAGAGATATTGCAGCTCTTTTTCGCACTTTCTTGAAACCCTGAAACCA